TGTATTCTTTGATCTTTATTAACAAGTGCTTCGAGACCTCGTTGCTTTCAGCAAGTAAGGTTGTGTCATCTGCACATCACCAGTTATTGATGAGCCTTCCTTCAATCCTGATGGCACATTCTTCTTCATATGTAGTCCATTTTCTCCGATCAGTTGCTCCACATATAGATTGAATAAGTACAGTGAAAGGATTCAACCCTGGCACACACCTTTCCAGATGTGAAGCTGTTCAGTATCCTCTTATTCTATTCAAATGACTGCCTCTTGGTCTATGTACAAGTTCCTCATGAGTACATTTACGTGTTCAGGAATACCCATTCTTTACAATGTTATGCATGATTTCTTATGACCCATACAGTTTAATGCTTTTGTATAGTTGATAAAGCACAAGTAGACAGCTTTCTAGTTTTCTCTGCTTTCAGCCAATATCCATCTAACATCAGCAATGATCTGTATCCCTCATTCCACATCCTCTTCTGAACCTGGCTTGAATTTCTGACAACTCTCGGTCAGTGAGCTGTTGCAACCATTTTTTAATTATCTTTAGCAAAATTTTACTGGAGTGTGACATTAATGATACAATTTGATAATTTCCCATTCTTTTGGGTTACCCTTCTTTGGAATAGGTACATATTTGGATCTCCTCCAGGTGTCGACCCAGATAGCTGTCCTCCAAATTTCTTGGCAAAAACTAGTGTGTGTTTCCAGTGCTGCATCAGTTCGTTGAAATATTTTTATGGGTATTCTGTCAGTTCCAGGAATCTTGTTTTCAGCTAGTGCCTTCAGTGCAGCTTAGACTTCGTCTTTCAGTACTATCATATGCTACCACCTGAAATAATTGATGTCAACCAATTCTTTTCAGTACAGTGACCATGTATTCCTTCCATCTTCTTTTGACTCTTGCCCATGAAATTATTTAATATTGCAAATCAAGGCTTGAATATTTTCTTTAGTTCTTTCACCTTAAGAAATGGTGAGTGTGTTCTTCCTTCCAGTTCCCTAACTCCAGGATTTTGCCTATCTCGTTATGATACTGACTTTGTCTTCTTGAGCTGCCCTTTGAAATTTATGCTCCTCTCTTTTACTTCATCATCATTTCCCTGCACTTCAGCTAGTCTCCATTCAAAAACAAGTTCACAGCCTCTTCTGACACCTAATTTGGTATTTTCTTTCTTCCATTTTTAATGACGTTTTGCTTTCTTCATGTAGGATATTCTTAATTTCATCCCACAACTCCTTTGGTGGTTAGTGTTCAATGAAATCTATTCGTAAGATGGTCTCTACATTGACACCTCACACATTGCTGTTGTTGTTAAGTACCATCGAGTGGGTTCCGACTCATAGCAACCCTTTATAGAGTTTCCCAGGAGTGGCTGGTGAGCTTGAACCACCAACCTTACAGTTCAAACCAACTTTGCTGTCCAGTGCATTAACCCACAGCAAACCCACAGCACCACACTAGGACTCCTGGTCACACATTGTTGTTGTTGTCGTTAGGGGTCATCGAGTTGGTACCAATGTTTTTAAGTGTCATCTAATTGGTTCTGACTCACCCTTGTAGAGGGTTCAACCATGTTGTTGTTGTTGTTAGGTGCCATTGAGTCAGTACCAACCCATAGTGACCTTATGCACAGCAGAACGAAACACTGCCCGATCCGGGGCCAATCTCACTACTGTTGCCACG